CCCCAAAACCCCAAAACCCCAAAACCCCAAAACCCCACAAATCTCATGGCTAATTGAAAACAGGGGTTAGCCTTGCCATCTGGATAAAATCTAATCTGCCTAATATATAAGCCTTGAGTTCAAGGAATCGACTGTCTCATCAAGGGCATAGTAATCGTCACATTCTGGCTTCTTCAAGTAAGTCATTGGGTTGTATTCAAGATCTTCGTATACAAAAGTCTGGCCTGATTCGGACTATATTTTAGGTAAGAACACATCATTTTAATGTAAAAATTAGCATCACGAACTAGACTGATTAGTGAAATATGCAAAACAACTCTTAGTCTTGTAAATAATTATAGAATTCAAATGGAAAATTGGTGAAAACCCTTACAGTAACCTTGTCAAAGATGTAGAATAGCATTGCTATCAAGATGGGGAAGATCAATAGCAGTCCAAATCCGGATCTTGGGTTCTCCTTGATTGTCTCGTCAATAATTTTCGGGCTTTCTGGCGTTATAGTGAACTCTCCATTACACACAGATGTTTTTAATGGCAAGTACTGGTGACCTCTTGGAAGACAGGCGTACTATAGAAAAGGAATGTTTAAAAGATCTTTTAAGCATTTGGTCAGATTTGTCGTGTAAAAATGAAGTTAAATTCAGAAATTAAGGTTACCTCCTGAAGGGTATCACTCGGACAGACAACTTGTCTGCAATGAGTTAACTCTTCACAACTTTTGATGAATTTATTAGCACATTCTTTGAGAAGTGCTTCACCCTCTAGGGCAATTTCAGGTGGGGTACTGTCTTCAGATTTGACCACTCCTTGTTTACCATCAACTACAGATGGTTCTTGAGCATTGTTAAAGATCTCTTCAGTATTCTGCATCTCAATAGCAGTGACTGAGGAGAAGAAAGCAATAATAAAAACTACAAATAACAAGAATTTCAGAGAGGCCATGGTCACGAGTAATTTAATTATGGAGGAATGATTCAAAAATTAAATATTCCTTAGGGGTTTTGGGGTTTTGGGGTTTTGGGGTTTTGGGGTTTTGGGGTTTTGGGG